CAAGAAAACTGCAAGGACCTGTCCAGGCAGTCTCCAAGAACCACACATAATTGAACAGAAGGGGAAAAAAATATCTCCAAGCAGATCAAAGTACCATTGTTCTTCCTGCAATGTTGATTTTATCACTTTTAAATTTTAATTTTAATTGTTGCAAATCACAAATAGCAATCACTTTGAGTTCATTGACCTGATAAGCCACTGGAAACCTTCCAAAAAACTGCAGAAAAATAATGCAAATGATCAGGTGAGTTTTGTACTTGGGTGTTGATATGAATCTACTAATCTTCCAACACAAGCTCTTAATGAAACCATTACAAAAGAGAAAAAGGTATCATTACAGTGACTACAAGCATCAGATTTTGAATATATAATTTATACATCTCCCCTTTGAAGAATTCTGGCATTCAGCCTCAACACACATTAATTTGTTATCTGTAATTTAACTTAAAATCTGAAAGATAGTTGAAGTTTAGCTAGAGAAAAGTACTATAATTGTATTTGGCAATGCTTTGTTTATAAATGAAATGCATTGTTTTGTTGTGTACCTGTGTGATACTTTAATTGTCTCATAATTTCTAATGCTGCTCATACAAATGACTGAAGATGGAACAAGATTATTTGGTCTATGTAATCCAGTATCTTCTACTCTGCTTGCAAGCAGTTTTGTATGCTTTTGAGTAGGGACATCTCCCATCATCTTGGCTACCGCAATGTGCTCTACATGGGGCTGCCTCTGAAAAGTATGAGAATCTTCAATTGGTTCAAAGTGTGATGACCCATGTGATTTTGTGCATTTGCACGTGTATCACATCTCTCATGGCTGCCAATTTGCTTCCAGATCCAATTCAAAGTGCTGGTTCTCATCTTTAAAGCCCTCCCTGGCCTGGGGCCAGGTTATTTGAAGGACTATTTTCCCCCAGTTATATCTACCCAATCCACTAGAGCAGGGAGGCAAGGGATGTTATAGGTCCCCTCTCCTAAGGAGATCCATGTAGCGGAGCGAAGAAGGCCTTCTCTGTGGTGGCTCCCTCCCTGTGAAACATTATCTCTGCAGAAATAAAATTGGCCCCCACTTGACATTTTTTTGAAAGGCCCTAAAGACATGGTTTTGCCAGCGGGTCTGAGGACTCCAGGATGATATAGAGCCCATCAAGTAATTGGATGTTGTTGCTAGAGGGGCGAGAGGTGGGGTTTTATTGGGTCTTGTATTGGGTTTTTATTTCTGAAAGCTGCCTGGGTCCACAATGAGTTAGATGGGCAGCCATATAAATTTTCTTAATAAAAGATCATCTACATCTCAGTATTTAACTTCAGAGGTTGCCTGGACCTTTGGTTTATCTGCAATGGTTGCACTAACCTGAAACATACACATACATTATGCAAGATCTCAGTTTAGACCAGGGGTAGGCAACCTTGGCTCTTTTATGACTCATGGACTTCAACTCCCAGAATTCCTGAGCCAGCATGGCTGGCTCAGGAATTCTGGGAGTTGAAGTCCATGAGTCATAAAAGAGCCAAGGTTGCCTACCCCTGGTTTAGACCTTATGTGCCATGTTTCATAATTTTTGATGTTTGGGTAAAAAAGAACAAAACATACGAGAGGAAAGGCTTTCCCACCATTTACATTAGACTGTTGTGATCTATTAACAAGCCATGACAAAATCAAAATGATGACTTATGTCTTGGTATCATGTTATATAGTTTGTCTTATGAAGTCTCAAGTACGTGGAGTATTTGTACACATGCCATCTTGTACTCCCCTTTGGACTCTCGTGCTTCAACTCCACCACACAACCATCAGGAATTACTCTACTATAGGCAGCCATTGATGGAAAGAACTTTCCCTTTTGATTTAGCTAGATTGCCAAGAGTGAACTTAGGACCTTCGACATGGAAAAATGTGCTGGGCTCAAAACAATTAGCACGGCTAATGTCTTGGGTTTGCTCCTTGCCCATGTTGCTTTCGACAAACATGGGAAGGAAGGGTGCAGTGCATGTATTTATTTTTTTTTGGTATTACAAATTTTACTAGTTTATTGAAATATAAAATACAAAGACAAATTTAAAAATGACAAAGTAGGGGAGGAAAGAGGAAAAAGTGGGTAAAAGAGTTGACTTCCAACTCTCTTTAGCGCAGTAGAATAAGGTAAAAACATACCTCGACTTTTTACTTTTACGCAGTAATATATTCTAGTCATTTCTATAACAACAACAAATCTATCTAATCAGCAAAAACCAAAATCGAAGTTTCATTTTTTCCACCTCAAGCACAGAGTCCAGAAGTGGTTTCCAAATAAAAGCAAGTTAGTTGTCTTCTTTAATTAAAGCAGTCGATTTAGATAACACCATCAGCTTTTGCAGCCAGTTCTCCATTGTGCGGTGCCTGTATTTCTCATGTCAGTCCAAAAAAGGTCCGATGATCTAAAGCATATGAGAGAAAATGGGGGTTTCTGATGTAACAAGAGCTTACAGGATGCACTGCAGTGAGCAATTTCATATCCCCAGGACCTGAATCAATCTGATCCTGGGGATATGAAGTCATTGTTTGAAGACTGGATGTCGAAGACGGTAGATCACCTTTGTGCATATGGAAGAATGTGTGTCCAAGATTAGCATTCCTCTATCCGATGACTGCCTTGTAGCTTAGCAGTTTTATACATTTTAGATTCATGGTATGAATCTCAAAAGTGAAAAAAACAAAACATTAATTTTCTCTTTCGTTTATAGGAGTTATACCCAGGATCTAAACTGAACTCTTCCATGTGATCCTGTTGTTTGCCTTTGTTTTCACTTATAGCAACTAGTTCTGGAGTATCTCTCTTGACAGACAGAATAATTTATGAACTGTCCTTTAAATTCCCTTTCCTCTTGATTATTCATACAATCTGTAATTATTTTTGTGCTCTTGACAAACAGGATAGTCTTTTTAAGTCATAGCAAATATGAAGGATGGCCTAGGATCCTTGAAGGCTTCTTCCCGGGAGATATATGGCTGGCCACATCTGTGGCCACAACTTTAAAGAAGGTTTTAAAAACTCATCTGTTCTCTCTGGATTTTAATTGAAAAAATTTATTGTACTTGCTGATGACAGGCATGCCAGGGTTGTGTTTTATTGCAACGGGCTGCACTTGAAACTGTTTACAATTAATATAACAGAACTAGTTTTATGGTCTTACCTGCCCTGAAAAGATGCTGATCTTGAAAATAAATTTAAAATAAACACAGAGCATAAAATAAAAATATACCCAACAGGGAGATTTGCGGTCAGATTGCTTCGTTTGAAACAACACATAAGGATGATGTTTTAATTGTCTAAGAAAAACGGTTTGCTACTGAATATGCAAAACAAAGATTTGTATATCACCCCAGCAATGAGACAAGTCTCAACGCAAATAAAACATATCCCTGTCCATCTCCCTATTTTTCACATTATGCAGGAAACAAACAGATTAAATACTTATGGCTGCTTGACCATACATTCTTTAATCTGGGACACAGCTTTGATCAAACTGATAAATAATTAAGTGAAGCTATAAAAAAAGATTAAAACAGAAGATGTTGAGACTCTAGAAAGAGTACAGAGAAGAGCAACAAAGATGATTAGGGGACTGGAGGCTAAAGCATATAAGGAACGGCTGCTGGAATTGGGTATGTCTAGTTTAATGAAGAGAAGGATGAGGGGGGACGTGATAGCAGTGTTCCAATGTCTCAGTGGCTGCCACAAAGAAGAGGGAGTCAAGCTATTCTCCAAGGCTCCTGAAGGCAGGACAAGAAGCAACGGAGGGAAACTGACCAAAGAGAGAAGAGAGAAGCAACCTAGAACTAAGGAGAAACTTCCTGACAGAACAATTAACCAGTGGAACAACCTGCCTCCAGAAGCAGTGAATGCTCCAACATTGGAAGTTTTTAAGAAGAGACTGGATAGCCATTTGTCTGAAATGGTATAGGGTTTCCTGCCTGAGCAGGGGGTTGGACTCGATGACCTCCAAGGTCCCTTCCAACTTTATTATTATTATATAAGTGCCTGGAGCAGATAGTTTACTGGCTTCTTTTTACAAATGTTTACAAAATTTGATGAATTCTATTTTATAAAGGGGAAAGATGCCAAACAGTTGGAAAGAGGCTAATAAGGCATTAACACCTAAAGAGGGTCAAGCTTTGACTTAAAAAAACAACAACCTATCATCAGATCTTATTGAATAAAGTTTATAAATTGTTTAAAATGATTGTGGCTAGAAGTTGAAAATAAAAAAAATATGACATGCTAGCGGGTTTTAAGATTACTGACTAGAAGACAAAGATATTAACAAAAGTATAAAAACAGATGATCAAATAGAAATGGTGGATTAAGCTGGTTTTAAGATTGAGAAAAAGTAAAATATTTGGGTATCACTATGACAAATATTAATTGTATGTTATTTCAAAATAATTATGTTAAGACTTGGAATGAAATTTAAAAGACATGCTAAGATGGGAGAAACCACAATTGTCACTGTTGGGGAGAATCTCTGTGGTAAAAACGGGTGTTTTGTATGGCAAGGGAAAATGCTACAAGTTAAATACAAGATATACAGGATACAAAGAAAGAGGAGAACTGGGTTTACCTGATCTAAAATTCGATTTTACAGCCCGTTGTCTGGTTTGGATAAAAAGATGGATATTGCTAAGAAATAAAAGACCATTAGAATTAGAAGAACATAACTAAGTTAACTATAGCTATATTTCAAATGTCCAATTTATTTACATTACTCCGTTATTTTTACAAATAACTCAAGGCAGCAAACATCAACACACATTCTTCCTCCTATTTTTCCCACAACAACAACCTTGTGAGGTGGGAGTGACTGTCCCAAAGTCATACAGTTGGCTTTCATGGCTAAGGCAGAACTAGAACTCACGATCTGCCTGCTAGCCTGCTGCCTTAACCACGAAACCAAAGTGCCTCTCGTGTAATCTAATACTTGTAGGATCCAGAATGAAAACTCCTGCACAAATGTAATAATTATAGTGCATTTTATTTTAGAACTTTCAAACAATTATTAAACACCTTCCTTTACAAGAATGTTTGAGGGACCATCATTAATAACATATAGAACACTAATTATTCATACACACATCCCTAACAGATCATAGCAGTTTTGCTTCTTTCATGTGTGGAAAGAATTAAGTGCATAGAGTTAATAAGGTTCTGTTTCTGTATTTTGATGCCTCATCATCTTTCCACAGTTGGATGTAGGAATTCAGGAAGCAAAGTGAAAAATAATTATACATTTCTCAGATGATGCAATGTTTTTCCCTGTTAAATTTCCAAAATGTTTCCTCTGCCCAACAGGTCCATCTTGTTCTTTGTCGATTTCATCTTCTATGAGCTGCAAAAAGGTTTCATTAAACATCTAAAAGAAAAGATGGATCATTCATAATGCCAAATTGTATTTTAAAAACCCTCAACTTCTGCAGACTAGGAACAAGGAAAATTTTGAGCCCTGATGTTTCAGCATGTCAGTTCAGAGATTTTGCATGATGCATGCTGACAGCTCTCTCTCAACACATACACATATACAAAGGTTACCTCTGTTAGGGTGAAAAGCATACCAACAACTAATATCACATACTTTGCCTCCAACTGAACAATTGTTTTGTAAGGTGGAAGGAATACCATGGACTACTTGAGGGACACAGGGTTGTTTTGCTTAAAATACTTAATTTGATTTCTATAGCCGCTCGTCTCAACAAATGTCTCTGGATGGCATACAGGTAGTCCTTATAACCATTTGTTTAGTGACTGCTTGAAGTTACAACGGCACTGAAAAAAATTACTTATGACTGTTTTTCACACGATCATTGCAACACCCCCATGGTCCTGTGATCAAAATTTGGGTAGTTGGCAACCGGCATGTATTTATGACAGTTGCATTGTCACCATTTGTAACCTTCCCAGCTGGTTTCCAACAAGCAAAGTCAACGGGGGAAGCCAGATTTGCTTAATGACTGCAGGATCCATTTAACAACTACAGTGATTCACTTAACAACTGTGGCAAAAAGGGTGTAAAAGGGGGCAAAATTCACACCATGGGTGTTAATGCATGCGAGAAATGGTGCCGTTAATACATTTGGGGCCCCAGGCCTGAACACATAATCATGAAAGTTCAGTAGGGTCAGGGTCATCCTGATCTCTGAAGGGAGAATATCCAGAGGCAGGGGCTATGGCAGAGAAGGCACGTCTCCTGGTTCCCAGCAGCCAACATTTCTTAGAGGACAGGGCCTACAACATGTCCAAGCTATCAGACTGAATTGGACAGGTAGAAACAACTGGGAGAAGGTGGTCCCTTAGGTAGGGCTTTTCAACCAGTGGTACGGGTACCACCTGTGGTACATTGGCACCTGGCAGGTGGTACACGACCATCCTAGAAAAGTGGTAGCGGGGGAGGGGAATGAGCTGAACCGGTGGCAGCACCACACAAGCCTGAGCGAGAGATGGCTGGAGCTGCAGGGCTGTCAGGGCTCAGCGGAAGCACCAGGATCAGTGCCAGGCTCCAGCTGGGCCCAGAAGAAGCGCCGATCAGCTGGAATGTTGCAGCATCTCCAGGGTCTTGTGATTTACATTCAGATGCTTGGCAACTGATTCATATTTATGACGGTCACAGTGTCCCAGGGTCATGTGAAGTGACCAAAACCTGGTGCAACCACCCAGCAGATGGGGGGAATAAAAACCAAACACCCCACCCTACCCCCACTGCCAATCCTCAACAGAAATGCTCACAACAATGAAAACCTCGGACAGGAGGAAGAGCACCGCCGGGAGGGCAGGCAGGTGTCTTGCTCGGCTGTGGCTTGGGGGTCACTTTTTTCAGTGCCATTGTAACTTCGAACAGTCACTAAGCCAACTGTTGTAAGTCGAGAACTACCTGTACTTTATCAGTTTTTTCCTTTTTTTTTCTTTTGGTCATCAAGTTTTTGACACCTTGCTAGGCGACTGGTGGTACTCGGATATTGCCATATCCTAAAAGTGTACAATGGGTGAAAAGGTTGAAAAGCCCTGCCTTAGGTAACCTGGCCCCAAGACATGAAGGGCTTAGAAAGCTCAATTAAAACTTATGAATTGTGCACTGTTCTTCTTGGCAATGCCCCAACTGCAGGCCATGCCCGTACTATGTTCATTAAGAAAATACTTTGTTTATACATCTAATTGTTAGCTACACCAAACTGGCTCTGCGCTTAATGCTAATATCTAATTGCTAGCATTATTCTGCAAATGGAAAACTTTTATATTATTTTCTCTATATTGTCCCCAAGAGAATTTGTGTCTTCATAGAGTTGGAACAAAAGTCTAAACAAACCAAACACCGTTTCCTGCCCCTCTCCACATCATGTACTCTTATGTAGGAATGTTGTTGTTGCAGTACCATCCTATGAAATGTAAAAGTCTGGTCTGAAAAAACTGCCAGCAGACTTTTACGTTTCATGGGATGGTACAACAACAACATTCCTACCTAAGAGCAGTGGCGTAGCGTGGGTTGTCAGCACCCGGGGCAAGGCAAGTAATTTGCGCCCCCCCCCTCCACAGTGGGCGGCGACCCGGCGGCTCGGATCGGATTCGCACAGGCAGGGGCAGAGAGCTGCGAGTGCGAGCACGCCCCCCCAGATGTTGCGCCCGGTGCGGCCGGGCCCCCCTGCACCCCCCACGCTACGCCTCTGCCTAAGAGTGTTAACTTTAAGCAAAGTGGGGGAAAAATGACTCAGCAATAAGTGAGTCGCCTTCTTGAAGTGCCTTCTCTGAATCTGAGTTAGCTACTGCTAAGGTTACATGCAAATTCAAAGGCCAGATGGGTCCTTGCTGCTCTCTGAGTTTGGTTGTTTTCTTGCAGAAATTTCATTACCCAAACTAGGCAACATCATTAGATGATGTTATCTAGTTTGGGTAATGAAATGTCTTCAAGAAAACAACCAAACTCAGAGCACCAATGACCCCTCGTTTCAACACTGAGCTGTAAATATTCTCCTTTACCCATATCAAAGGCCAGAGTTTATATTTTGTTGACTAGCCCCCAAGCCCTCCTTCCCCAATGTTTCTTTCATTACTCTTGCAATTTGGTCAGGTTTTTCTGTTTTTACCCAAATTACTTTCACATACAGTACAGAAATTAGCAAGTTAATGAAGCAACATAGATAGGAAAGCTAATTGCTAATCCTGACCTCAGGATGCTTATAAATTCTTAAGCCATTTTAGAAATTATCTATAAGTATGCTATGCATGCAACTTGGTTTTTATTAGTTGTGCTTATTGTATCACCAGATGCCATTGGGGGAAATTCAATTAAAAAGAATTTTGCACTTTAGGCATTGATATGCCAATAACTGCTTTACTGATCACATCTAATTACTGGCTATAAACAAGGAAGTATAAAGTTATCTATAAACACACGATCAAGACACAGCAGAGGAGGTGACTGGTTATTCTTGAATCTTTGAAGATTTTTAGCTCTGTCTTTCACATATTACAGGTTTATTGAAGTACACTGGCCCTGTAGCTCTAGCATAAAATATGTGTGCAACTATAATGCGCTTCTAATTCAGAATAAAGAGAGTATAGCAGAATTTAATTCCACCTAATATGCAAAGGTCAAAATCACTTCAAATTTTAATTTTGTCCTTTTCGATATGCCTTAAAAAAACCCAATGGTTCTCCTATTATATGCCTTAGAAGTAAGACACTAACAATTCAGTGGTAAGGAACATTCTTGTTATACTTTTCAACCTTTCAACAAGTTCTAAATCTACCAACAAAAAATACAGTGGCTGTGTTTAAATGATATACTAAACTATAGTTTGATTAGCCATGGTTCACTACATGAGCCACAATTAAATTCACACAGTGCACTACCAGTAGAACAATCCATGGTTTTCAGACATGGCTGGGTTCATAACAATTTGCTGATTGACAAACCTTAGAGAACAATTAACCAGTGGAATGACTTGTCTTCAGAACTTCTGTGTGTTCCACCACTGGAAATTTTTAAGAGATTGGACAGCCATTTGTCTCGAATAGTATAAGGTCTACTGCTTAAGCAGGGGGTTGGACTAGAAGACCTCCAAGGTCCCTTCCAACTGTTACTCGGTAAACCACAATTTGGAATGGCATATCACTCAGCTAGTGGAGTACAAGATAAATGTCTGCCATTCTGTCTGCAAGGAAGCAGCTGCAAAATTCCACCAAAAGGAGGGGAATTTTTGCAATTTTCCATCACAGTATTTTTCTCCTGAATTTCAGGTCCATGCTTAATCCATAAGGACCTGAATTGCTGAAATCTATAGGTGACAATCAGTGGCTTGTCATTGATTGTCTAGCTCAGTGGTGGCGAACCTATGGCACGGGTGCCAGAGGCGGCACTCAGAGCCCTCTCTGTGGGCACGTGCACCGTTGCCCCAGTCCTAGGCCTTCAGCTGGGTTTTATAAAACCTTTTCACTTTAGGCCTCCGCTGCCATGTGCAAAAAAAAAAGGTTCAATCAGTCAATTTCAACTTCTCACGGGGAAAAAAAGACCTTGCAAAATTGGAATTGATTGATTGAACTTTTTAGTCCCACCCAGTCTGCCGTTACCACCGTAGCCACATCCACCCAATGGGCCACACACCAATTGGCCACACCCAGCCAATAGGCCACACCCACCCGGCACCCGATGATGCATAAGTGGTTTTGGGTTGCAGTTTGGGCACTCGGGTCCCTAAAAGGTTCACCATCACTGGTCTAGATATCTCCAGAATCTTACTCCGGAGTTGTGACTGCCATAACTTGTCCAAAACAGAACAATCCCATGAAGGTCTTTTTTTCAGATCTAAGCTGAATTCAAGAGATTTACTAGCAACTAGAAGCCGCCTTTTAATTTTAACGCTTCAATTGCTAACTGACACTGACTTTTAAGTAGACCGCTTCTAAGTAAGAAGGCCCAAGATCTGCAGTAAGGTGGCCATCGCGTTTTTTAAAGAGGGATTTACGCCCGACGATTCTCTTCGGAGAATATGCCCCGCGGCATCGCGCTCTTGCGCAGCAGCAATCCTGTGCAATACTTACCAGGAAGTAAAACAAGGCGGGTTGGGAATCGCTTCCTTGGAAACCCGCTTTGGATCCTCCAGCCTTGGCAGCTACGCCAACATTAATACCAGCGGGCACGTACACAATAGTAAGATCATGCCCCGAGTGCCATCATGCACAGCCCCAGAAACAGCCGAGAGCCTCAAACAGCGTGCAGGCGAGGCCGCAGATCAAAGACTTCACCTGCGTGCCTCCTCCTCCTCCTCCTCCTCCTCATCAGCTGGTCCAGAGGGGCGGCGGCGGCGGCGCTGGTTCGGCCGAGGGAGCGAGCGCAGGCAGCAACGCAGCGCCTGGTTGCCGGGCGAAAGGCTCTCAGCTGCGGCGGCAGGTTGCGCGGATCAGGAAATTAGGGCAGCCGGTTGGGATTGGAGGCGCTCGCGAGCCAACCAGAGGCCGCCCAGGCGTCCGTGAGTCACCGGCGCGCAAGGAGAGCGGCGCGGGGAGGCTGGTATAAGAGCGCAGCCGAGCTGCCCTCCCCCTTTGTGTACGTTCTTCGGCTCTTCCTCACCGGCACGACCGGTGTGTGTGTGTGTTGTGTGCGTGCGCGGGTGCACGCGCGCCGCCCTGCCCGGCACCTCCTGCATTTCTACTCCCCCCCCCACACACACACGCCGCCCGCACCTTCCCCCCCCCCACTCAACCGCGCGCGCTTTTGCCTCGGACTGGAATTGCCTCCTCGCACCGCCGCTGCATTGTCTGCTTCTCGCCGCCCTACCTGGAGCCTTTCTCCCCCCCCTCCCGCCCCAGCGGAGGCTCTTCACCTTTCTCAAAAGGGGGGGACAGCGAGGAAGGCGTCTCTCCCCCGCCCCGCCTGCGCGTCCTCCTTCTGCCCGAACTTGTGTGAGGAGGCGCCGCGGGCGCTACTACACGATGGACACGTTCCGGCGGCTGGGGCTGGGGCTGCTGCTGCTGCTGCTGGCGCTGGCTTGCCTGCGAGGAGCGCGTGGTGAGTAAGGGGGGGCTCCGTTAGCTCGGAAGCTGCCGCGACTCCCCAGCTTCTCCCCTGGGGACGCCTGGCAACCGGGTAGGCGGCGGAGCGAGGGCGGCAGGACGCGAGCGAGCGAGCCGGCGCGGTGGCTTTGCCTTTGGGGGAGCGGCGGACTCGCTCGTTCCTCCAGAAATACCCCCCGAGGAGTAGGAATTCTCTCTTCACACACCCAACGAACGGCTACGTGCTCTTGCGCCCGTAGTCAAAATCCACCCCCCCCCCGTTTTTTTTTCTCTTGCTGTCCGCCTTGCCGAGACGCCGGGTAGAAAGGCGGGGGGGGGGGGGTTTGCCGCTTTCCATTTGGTCTTGGCTGGCGGTGGAGGCAAGCCTGGCCGCTGCCGAAGCGAGTGCGTGGGGAGAGGGGCAACCTGGCCTCCTGCGGAGGGTGTCCCGGCCTTTCTTTGTCTGACAGCTGTTGTGGGCTCCGCCGTAGCCTTGACCCTGAAGTTGAGCCGTTTGCTCCCAGGGAAGCTCTTCAAGGGCCCCCTGCTCGCTCGCTCGCTCGCTCTCCTCCCCCTTTCCCGCGGTTTGGTACATCTGAAGGGAGCCTCCTCAGTGTTGGTCGCAGAACTTTCCATCTGCCTTTGAGGGGGGGAGGGCTGGTCCTTGAAGAGTTCTGTGTGGCTGCATCGCCATAGTGTTGGTGGGGGGTCTCGGGACAACACTATAGTGTAAATGTTTATGTGCTCCCTCTGTGTCGACCAATTCAGCAACGGTAACTGTGGCTTAATGGCATTTATACGCCTGGGGAGGATAGCATTGGCTCCAAGTGAGTGGGGTCAGTGGAGGAGTTACACAGAAGAGGACTGCTGGTAGTAGTAGATGCTGAGAATACTGTTCCTAAAAAGAGATGAGGGAGCTACTCCAAATGAAAAAATGCAGATAGTAGAGCCTAGTGATAGATCTGGGAAATATAGTTTGGGCAATGTTACACGGCCTGCAGGAACCAGAGACACACAGCACATTGTTCTCAGCAGTATTTTAGTTGGCATAAGGAGCTGGTTTTGAAGGCCAGTGATGTTTTTAATTAATGCTTTAAGATGTAAGTGTTTGAGTGGTTTAATGATGAAACAGCTACTCCCTTAAATAATAATCCTGGTCTGCTTTTCTCTGCTTGCCTAACTTTGCTGAACTGTGCCGCTGGAGAAGATAAAAACTGGGGGAAACTCCACAGTTCACCACACAATTAAGTACTTCTGATCTTTCATGGTTCTGTTAGTTCCTAGTACTTTGCAAGACAATTATCACAAATAGGACTGTACTGCAAATGCTGTAGGATGATGACTTGTAATAGTTGGTGACAAATATGGCTGGGGAGGCCATTTAAAGCCAAGCTAAAATGCCAGGGCGTCTTAATAGGAACATGTAGGTGAGCTCTCTGTGTTTATTAGAACAAATTCTTTGGACTCAATTACATTATGACTAATATTATTGCAGATGGATTTGAAGTTCTTAGCCACATCACTGGTTTGCTTTTTTTTCCTGTAAGTCTAACTTGAATAACCTTTTAACTTTAGCACTTGAGAAACAAAATGCCAATCCACCAAAACGGTAATCCTCCTTCCCTGCCAAATACTCCATTGTAAACATGCTGTGCTAAAACTTACAATACTTGGCTGTGGTCTAACCTTTTCTAGATTATAGTCTTACTTTCATCAGATATAGAAAGGAATGGAATCTTACATTGTATTTCTTCCCCTGTTTTTTCTTAATACCTGCTTCACTGGAAATCATTATTTAAGGCCTGAAAGATTTCAAATAAACATTGATAAGTTTCCTTTGTTGGTTTTTAAATATCTTCAGTCAGTTCCTGCTGAAGCAAGCCACTTAAGAGCTTTCTTCTTTTTCAAACATTAGTAATTAGGCCAAGAAACTTAAGTTTCAAGGCCAAGTAGTACCAATACCAAGTTACACATGTATCATTAGAGTAGGTGTCCATATGTGCTGCATTGCCATCAGTGTCATGTTGGAAAGGACATGCAGTTTTAATATAGTTCTAGCTCTAAAGTGGAAAATCCACAGGATTCCAATAAGCATAGATAGTGATCAGAAGATCATAGGAATTTCAGTTCTTCATTCTTTGTTTTTAGTAACTAAAAACTATTTGTTAATGTAAAAGAAAAATATTGGATGTGAAAGAATCCTGGTTAGAGGTATGCAAAACTCTGTTCAAAATGGGTACTCCAGTGTTAACCACAATTGTTGTGATGGTATTTCAACCATACAGGTAATCCTTGACTTGCAATGATGTGTTTAGTGACCAAAGTTACAACAGCACTGAAAAAAGTGACTTATGACCAGTTTTCACATTTGTGACAATTGCAGCATCCCCGTGGCCACATGATCAAAATTTGGGCGCTTGACAACTGGCATGTATTTATGGCAGCTACACTGTCCCGAGGTCATGTGATTACCATTTGTAACCTTCCAATCCAGCTTCCAGCTTCTTCCAGTCAATGGGGGAAGAAGCTTTAACAAATATGTGATTTACTTAACTTTGGCAAAGAAAGATTGTAAAACTCAAATGCCTTGTTTAGCAATGTAAATTTTGGGCTTTGTTGGGCAAGTTGAGGATTACACGTACTGGAAATGTTCAAGACCTCAAACTGGGCATTTTAAACTTGGAATCAAGATAGTTTTGGCACTCTTTGATAACTTCAGTGCAGCCGTCTTGACCACACCTACCATCAATCAAAGTAAATATACTTTGTATATGTATATGTAATATAGCAAGTAGGTAAAACATATTTAAATAACTACCCTGCTTATGGATTAAATTCTGAATACAAGAGTTGACTACCCTTTGAAGCATTGAATATCATGAGCTAAAATCTCATTCTGGGCATTAAATTTAGCATAAACCTTTGCATTGGGTATCAGCCATATTTATTTTTTGTGATGTCCAAAACCTGCAGAAACCTTTCATTACATGTTCTACGTTTGCCCTGTTATTTCCATACAAAGTAAATGATACAATAAAAAGTACTGAGAGAGTGGCTAGTAAGCAAAATAAACTAAAGAAGAAAAAAATGAAATCTTACTAAACTACACTAAGTTTATAGCAACTCTATTCTGTTTATTTTGCCATATATGACTATTCTTGCTTCCGCTATGCCCATATACTAATTAATTGCTTTCTGTTCTTTAAGCTTTTCTTTTTTTGAAAATCATCCACTTTATCCAGTCATGACTTTCTTGGTTTTTCCTTTCTTTTCAAGCCATTTTCCTTCACGTATTTGTTATACAGTTTAATCCTTAACACCTATAGAGGTATATATAAAATATTTCATATAACAAGGTGGACATAAACTCGTTTTCATATATGGCTATATATTTTCAGTTCTTTCAAGTTTAATTCATTCCTCACAATAAACCATATATTACCACTACTTTTTTACTTAGACCAGTGGTGGCGAACCTATGACACGGGTGCCAGAGGCGGCACTCAGAGCCCTCTCTGTGGGCACGCGCGCCGTCGTCCCAGTCCTAGGCCTTCAGCTGGGTTTTATAAAACCTTTTCGCTTTAGGCCTCTGCCGCCGTGTGCAAAAAAAAAAAAAGGTTCAATCAGTCAATTTCAACTTCTTGCAGGAAAAAAAAAGATCTTGCAAAGTTGGAATTGATTGATTGAACTTTTTAGTCCCACCCAGTCTGCTGTTACCACTGCGGCCACGCCCACCCAATGGGCCACACCCACCCGGCACTCGACGATGCATAAGTGGGTTTTGGGTTGCAGTTTGGGCACTCAGTCTCTAAAAGGTTCGCCATCACTGACTTAGACGTTTTCAGGCTTTAGAACTTGGCAACTTTAAGCTATGTGGGCTTCAACTCCCAGAATTCTCCAGAGAGAATTGCTCAGCATGCTGGTTGGGGAATTCTGGGAGGTTGAAAAGCACTGCTTTAGACTCACTCCCTCATTCTCTAAAGCAGTGTTTCTCAACCTTGACAATTTTAAGGCATGTGGACTTCAACTCCCAGAATTCCACAGCCAGCAATGCTGGCTGTGGAATTCTGGGAGTTGAAGTCCACATGCCTTAAAATTGTCAAGGTTGAGAAACACTGCTCTAAAGGTATACAAATTCATTCATTTCCCTTGCATTTCTACCATGTACTGGTAATTGTTCACTTCCTTTTTCTTGTCAAACACAAAGTTTGACAGGAAATTTTCAGAGGGAGAAATTAAAGCCACCAGATAGTTTTCATCTTGCATT